ATAACATCCTCTAGGCTCATCTTTGTTTTCAAAAATGACAGAATTTCCTGCTTTTAAAAGGCTGAATTATATCCCATTGTGTATATGTACCAATTTTCTTTTTCCAATCATCCATAGATGGGCAATTGGGTTTTTTCCATATTTAGGTTATTGTGCATAGTGCTATAATGCACATGGGAATGCAGATATCTCTTTTACATACTGATATACTGTCATTTGGGTATATGCCAAGTATTAGAATTGCTAGATCATATGATACCGTAGTTCTATTTTTAGGCTTTTTTTTTAGGAGCCTTCATACTGTTTTCCATAATGGCTGTACTAATTTACATTGCCAGGAGCAGAGAACAGAGCTCAGGAATTCCCATTTCTTCACATCTTCACCAACACTTATCTTCTTTTAAAAAAATAATAGCCACTGTAATGTGCATGCACTGATAGCTCATTGTGGTTTTGATTTGCATTTCCCTGATCATTAGTGATGTTGAGCATTTTTTCATATACCTTTTGGCCATTAGTGTGTCTTCTTTTGGCAAATGTGTATTCAGGTCCTTTGCTCGTTTTTAAACAGGGTTGATTTCTTGTTGAGTTGTTTGAATTCCTTGCATATTTTGGATATTAGCTCTTTACATGAGGTATGATTAGCAAACATTTTCTTCCACTCTTCTGGGTTTTCTCTTTGGTCTGTTTATTGTTTTCTTTTATGTCCAGAAACATTTTAGCTTGATGCAATCCCCTTTGTCTACTTCTGCTTTCATTGCCTGTGCTTCTGAGGCACATCCAAGACAACTCTGTCCTGACCAATGTCCTTGGGCTTTTCCTGTACTTTTTTCTTTTAGGAACTTTACAGATTCAGCTCTCAGGTATCTTTAATCCTTGTGAGTTGATTCTTAGATGAGGTGAGATAGGATTTTCATTCTTCTGCATGTGGATATCCAGTTTTCTCAACATCATGTATTGGAAAACTGTCCTTTCCCCATTGTGTGTTCTTGACATCTTTGTCAAAAATCAATTGATCCTAGTGTGTAAACTGATTTCTGGCCTTTCTATCCTATTCCACTGGTCAATGTGTGTGTTTTTCTATTATACAATGCTGTTTTGATTACTATAGCTTTGTAATATATTTTAATATCCAATGGTGTTACAAGTGCAACTTTGTTCTTTTTGTTCAAAATTGCTTTGCTTTGGCTATTTGGGATAATTTGTGGTTCCATACAAATTTTAGGATTGTTCTTTCTATTTCTGTGAAGAATGATATTGGAATTTTGATAGGGATTACATTGAATTCTTATCAAAATTATGATATCACTTATGGTATTATAGACATTTATGAATATTAATTTTTTCTACCCATGGATACAGCCTTTTTATTTGTTATCTTTAATTTCTGTTTTTAAAGTTTAAATTATTTATTTTATCTTATTAGTACATGTTTGCGATACATGGAGTTTATAATCATTTTAGGGAATGGATACATAATACAGTTTGATCCCCTCCCCTGTTCCTCCTGCTTCCCTCCCTTGTCCTCTAAATCCCCTTTCTCCATGTTCTTGTCAATATTATTAATCTTATCTCATGTTTATGACATATAATGTTTACATTCTTTCATCAGTGTTTCATAGCTTTCAGAATTCTATGTAAATGATCACATTGTCGGCAAACTTCTTGTCATGTAGTTATGTTCACTTCTTCCTTTGCTATTTGAATACCTTTTAGTTCTCCTTATTACCTAATTGCTCTGGCTAGGACTCCCATTACTATGTTGAATGAAAGTGGTGAAAATGTGCATCCTTGTCTTGTTCTTGAAAGCTTTCAAATTTTCACTATTGAAAGAATCACACCACAGCGATATATGTGCATCCATGTTCATAGCAGCACAGTTTGTAATAGCTAAAACTTGAAAACAGCCCAATTTCCCTGGAGACTGGATAAAGAAAATGTGGTTTTTCTATAAAATGGAGTACTATTCAGCCATAAAGAACAAGAAATTAGAGACATTTATAACTAAATGGATCCACATTGAGGCAATACTCTTAAGTGAAATAAATAGGATACATATGAGTAAATACCAAAGTTTCTCTGGTGTGAGAAACTTAAAGTGTAAATAAGGACTAGAAGGTAAAATAGATAATGTGAAAAAGAAAAGGGGAAAAGGGATAGAGAAAGTGGGAGGGGCAGGGGAAAGGAAAGGAGGGGATGGAATTAATACGAGAAAAGGAAAAAATGGAAACAAAGTCTTTGCAAATAGGGAGGGGCAGAGGGGTTGAAGGTAGGGCAGGGGAATGGGGAAAAAAAATAAGAACCAAAATAGAGTATATAAAGGTGCAAGTTCCCAATGATGAATGTCATATTGTATACCTAAAATTGTACCGATAAAATTAATAATATAAAAAAAATTTTCACCATTGACTTTGAAATTTGACTGTGCCAGATTTTGACATTGACTGTGGGCTTTTCGTACATAGCCTTATTATATTGAGGAACATTCTCTTTTTTTTTGGTAATGTATGAAGGAATTATTTTAATTGCTGATGAATGGTTCACTTAAAAGACACCATCATTCATATAATACACAGGCCCCAGGCTTCACAAGTAAGAGACCAGGCTTCAGATTGACCCACTTTTTGCTCCTCAGTGCTAGGGATCGAACTCAAGGCCTTGTGCATGCTAGGCAAGTGCTCTACCACTCAGCTACATCTCCAGCCCTCTGAGCCACTTTTCAACCAATCCTTCCCAATCTTTTCTCTATAAATAGCCCTCTGTGCTGCTGCCACCAAGTGCAATACCTTTACTTAATACTACTAGCTGGGAATACCAGGATTGGCCCTCTAGCCTGAACTGCCACAGAAATAGCTTAAATTGGGGTGAGACACGCGTAACATTGGTAGGCTTCCCTCCAACTCACTCCAAATGAGTCCATATTCACTTCATACCACTTTCTGGATGAGCACGGTACCTGGGAAGGACTGCTAGAATTCAGATGATCTCTAGAACAAGACAGTGGGCTCCAACCTTCCCCTGGCCCTCAACATTTAAAGGGTCAGAGGAGTTCTCATTCATACAAAAAGCCACCATCCTTAACATTTGTAATGTCTATTTTCCCTATTTCCATATACATTATATCATTCAACACAAAATTCCAATGTTCTGTGCAGCTTCTGATGAAAAACAGGAACATTCTTACTATAACTAACTTTTGACAATTTTTATCATGAAAGGATGTTGAATTTTGTCAAGTTTATGAATTTTTTGCATCTATTGAGACAATCATATTATTTTTGTTTTTCATTCTGTCAAAAAGGTGAATTGCATTTATTGATTTATATACATTGAGTCATCCTTTCATCTCAGGGATAAATCCCACTTGATCATAATGAATGAAGGAATGTTTGTTCTTTTGGGGTTTTTTGTTTTTGCAGTTCTGGGAATCAAAGCCAGGGCCTTGTGAATGCTAGGCAAGCAGTCTACCATTGCACTATACTCCCACCCCTGGATGCTTATTCTTATTGCTTTTCCAGAAGCCCCAGTACTAGTAGCAATTATCAAATCAGGTTGCTGTTAAAAAGGAATCCTATTCTGTTTGTAGGCCAAAAAATTATTGCCGATGTACATTTTTAAGAACTCCTCCCTAATTTACTAAATTAGTCCTATCCATGGCTAACAGGCCTAGTTCCCTTCAATGGCCCTCTGCCTTTTGTCCATGGAAGTGGCAAGATCACAGATATTTATTTTAGATATATAGTCATGTGCCCAATAACAGTGTTTGGGGCAATGATGAACCCCATGTATGATGGTGATCCCATAACATTATAATAGAGCTTAAGGAAAAGTTCTCTCATCAAGTGAACACAAAGCTGAAGAAGAGGTAAAAGAAAAAAGAAATAGAAGAAAAAGAAAAAGAACAAGAAAATTTTTAGAGAAAGGTTTAGTAGAAACGTTTTCAGAGCTCAAAAAGCTCCTTAAAAATGTTTTAAAACATGTACCACAACTCTGAAAGCTTTTTAATAATAGAGTGAAACACTCATGATGTTGAAAAGCAAGCAAAATTATGATTTGAAAAAGAAACAAACCATGCAAACCAAATGGATTAATTTCTGAAAAAGAACAACACATCCTCAAGAAGTGCCTCTGGTAGGTCCTTCAGAAAAACTCCAGAAGAAGGCATTGTTGTCATAGGAGGTGATAGCTCCATGCATGTTATTACCCCTGAAGACTTTCTAGTACGACAAGATATGGAGGTAAAAGAAAGCAACATTGATGATCCTGACCCTGTGTAGGTCTGGGACAAAGTATGTGTTTCTGTCTTAGTTTTTAACAAAGTTTAAACATTCAAATTAAAAACTTAAAAATAAAACCTAAAAGAATGAGGATATAAAGTATACTTGTACAGCTGTGTATAATACATTTAAGATAACTATTATTATAAGAGTTAAAAAATTAACTTATAAAGTTTTTAAAAGTTACAGTAAGCTAAGTTTACATTGCTATTGAAGAAAGGTAAATATTTTCTATAAATTTAGTGTAGTTTACTTGCACAGTGTTTGTCTACACTTCTGTGCATTACTGTCCTAGGCCTTCACATTTACTTGCCACTCACTCACTGAGTCACCCACAGCTATTCCCAGTTTTGCAAGCTCCACTCATGGTGAGTGCCCTGTATGTGGGTACCATATTTATATTTTATTCAGTACTTTACTGAATCTTTTCTCTGTTTAGCTTTAGATACACAAACATTATATTACAGTTGCCTACAACATTTAGTGCACTAACATGTTATACAGATTTGTAGCTGAGGAGCAATAGGCTAAACATTATAGCCTGGATGTGTAGTGAGTTGTACCATCTATGTTTAAGATCTTTCTATGATGTTCACACAATGATGAAATCACCTAACAATATATTTTCAGAATGTATCACCATGGTTAAGCAATGCACAATAGTAATATCTGATTTGTTAGGCTTTAATCTAATGCTATATTAAGTGGTTTAAGATATACATATTCAATTTCTTATTAGTATCTTTATTATGTAGTTGAAAAAGAAGAAATAGAGATTTCCCTTGTGTCACATAACAGGTCAACAACAAAGTTAAAAATTAAAACCAAGAACAGAATGATTTCTGTGGCTCTATCTTAGGCAGTGTTACATTGGGATCTCATGAATAGATTGGAAATAAACCTCAAATGAGTAGTCATTTTTGTAGGGCACAATTCATTTTGTTAAAGACATTTTCCTCTCCCATAAAGATAGGATATCTTTCCCAGATAATTGTTTTCTTTCTTATTCTCTTGTGGTCACAGATTTAATTCTTTTGGAATCTTCATCTTACTTGAAACCTGAAAATGAAAGATAAGAGACTGCATGAGATCAAATCAGATCAGTTTCCCAAGTAGGTTGGCCTCAAAGCACATTGGAAAGACCACTGACCACAGTTTCTTCAGCATGTCTTCTGCCCAAATTTCCCCAGAAGCCATTCCTGCTCTTATGCCTTGAGCCATTCCTCACTCTTAATCCCCCTTCAGTGATCTGTGATCCTCTTAATCACTTCCTAAACTCAACATAGCTAATCTGATCTCCCAGTGGCAAATGGACAAATTTATCTCAAGTTTTCTGCAGTATCCTCCACCAGTATACCCTTTCTGTGCCAGTTTTCATCAGTGGGCACAAAACATCCTTTTTACACATAACACGTACTCAGGCACTCCTCTCCACACACTCACGTGTGCAACCAACTACAACTGAATTGTAGATATAAATAAATAACTGTGAAGCACTTGACTAGATGTGTTCTCATAATCTGTTATCTAGGATTCCTGGGGGTGCTCCCAGGAGCAGGGGGTAAAGGGCTTCTTAGTGTGCTAAAATGTGTTACTGGATATGAGTGAAAAAACACCTATCCTCTCTACTTTGTAATAATATCTCTAGATATACAACAGAATGAAAATGGCATGGAATTGGGAATCATACATACCTCTGTGTGAATCTCAGTTCTGCCACTTACTAGCTTATAACCTTCACCAAGATATTTCACCTTTCCTCACTTCATTTTCCTCATCTGAAAAAAATGGGAATTATAAGAGGACATTACATATTATCTGTTGTAAGAACCAGAAAATATAATTAATTCTTGTAAAGTGTCTGACCCATAGTAGGTACTCAGTAAATATAAGAGTTTTTCCTACCTTTATTTTTGAAGGTAGTGTTGTATAGTGTGGATAGTAATATAATAGGAAGATTGCAGTTAGACAGGGTGTCAATTTCCAATTCTGTCATTTAGTACAATGGTGACTTCAACAAGTTACTTGACCTGAGCCTCAGTTTCTGCTTCTGTAAGATATATAATACTGGTATAAAGCATATAATACTGGTATAAAGTAGATGGCTTTTAATTGTAACTATTAGTGATGGATATAAAAAAACTGCTCTTAGTCTCAGATTTAGCACACTTATTGTCTGTAAGCCCTTTCTTTTCTTTCTTTGGGTACAAAAACGCTTGGGTGTTTTTGAAATCACATGGTTTTAAAGTTTCTTTTTTATTAGTATATGTTGTAGTCAGAAAGATTCGGCAAGGGAATACATTAAATACAGGACACATAATTTATAAGGTTATTTTATGATAATTACCCAAAGATTTAAAAGCAAAGGAGTGCAAGAGATTAACTGCACACTAGAAGCCCAAAGGATTCAGCTGAAGACATAGATCCCAGCAGTTTCCCACACAAGTCCAGCTGAAGGCCTAGAGTCCAAGGCAATGCCTCATGCTTGTCCATATTGAAGATCTGCACCTGGAAGGCCCAAAGGCCAGTGGTGGACGCCAGAAAATCTTCACTGGTGAGATGAAGGATTTCTGCCACCAAGCTGAGGGATCCACATTGGAGCCAGGAAGTGATGTTCACGGTGAAGATCAGAGCTCCCTGACGAAAACAGCAGCCATTCCCAGCGACAGTGAGAGCCGAGCTCCTCCTCCAACGAGAACGGCCAAGTTCGCATCAGGAAAACCATCCCCAGCAAGCTTCTCCTAGCAAATCAACAGGCCAAAATCTTCCCCTCCGGTTCTCTTTTTATGGCTATTGGTAACAATCTTCAGGTGGATCCTCCACGCCCAGACCACACTGATTCAGTTCAGCTGGATGTTACCGGTTGACCATTAGTCAATCTACCACAGTATATGTTTGTGATACATAATGATTGCCAAAAAAAATAATAATAATTACCTTAATCTTGGAGAATGGGTAAATATACATATAAAATCTTAATTATTCTTAGTTTTTTTCCCTTACCTGCCCTCTTGTCTCACCCCATACTCACGTCCCCTTCCCATATCCACAGACAACCTCCCCATTTTCAATCATCCCTCTTTTATTTTGTTCTTTCTATTTCAGTTTTCTTATATATGAGAAACCATGAAATATTTAATCTTCTATGCCTGATTTATTTCACTTAGTATTATGGTCTCAAGATCCATCCATTTTCTTTATTTATTTGTTTTTTTGTATTAAATTCTTTTATTGGTACATTGTAGGTATACAACATAATTACATTTCTCATTGGGAATTGTACCTTTATATAATGCATCTTG